TGGTAATGGCTTCAAAGAAGTTGAACCATTACTTCCAGGCCCATAAAATTGTGGTGCTAACAGAACACCCCTTGAAGTCCTTACTGCAACAAGGAGACCTGACAGGAAAAATAGCCAGGTGGGCAGTCACCCTAGGCCAGTATAACCTGGAGTACAGGCCAAGGACAACAATCAAAGGCCAGGTTCTGGTCGATTTTGTGGCCGAGTTCACGCCAAAATCCATCGAACATTGGGCTCCGTTGAGCCAGGGTGAACGATGTCCAAACAAGCAAGGAGAAGCTCAGCCAAAGGCGAAAGAGCAAAGAAAAGAGGAAAAACTCAGACCCTGCAGCATTTACATCGGCGACTCCTTTCGACTGTTCGTTGATGGGAGTTCAAACCGACATGGAGCGGGGGCAGGAGTAGTGCTGATATCTCCAGATGGACAAATAGTGGAACAGTCCATTCGTTTGGAGTTCAAAGCCTCAAACAACGAAGCAGAATATGAAGCATTGATTGCAGGACTGAAGCTGGCAGTAGCAGCAGAGGCAGACGAGGTAATAGTTTTCTGCGACTCCCAGCTCATCGTTAACCAGACAACGGGCAAGTTTGCTGCCCGAGATGAACGGATGTCAGCCTAAGCAAAAGAGGTCATCAGGCTGGCAGCCTTGTTTCAGAACTGCCGAGTACTTTAGGTTAGCCGAGATGATAATAGCCATGCCGATGCGTTGGCCTACCTAGTTAGCGCAGTACAACCTGGAAAAGTAAGGACAATAATGATCGACTATTTGTCGGGCCCGAGTGTCGAGCCACTATCCACAGAGCATGAGGCAATATGCGTGGACATGGGACAAAGCTGGATGGACGCAATTGTTGCATTCCTAAAAGAAGGGAAGCTGCCAGACGATCACAAAGAGGCACACAAGATCAGATTGAAGTCGGCAAGATTCAGTCTGACAGCAGAGGGGCATCTCTACAGAAGGTCCTTCACTGGACCACTTTTAAGGTGCGTACATCCTTTACAAGTTGAAGATTTTTTACATGAAATTCATGAAAGAATTTGTGGAAGCCACGCTGGGGGCAGATCACTCACCCATAGGGCCATTACCCAGGGGTATTGGTGGCCTTACATGCAGAAGGACGCAGAAGCATATGTGAAGAAATGTGAAAAGTGCCAGAGATTCGCACCACTAATACACCAACCAGTAGTAGACCTGAACCCTGTATCCAGTCCTTGGCCATTTGCCCAATGGGGCATGGATCTCGTTGGGCAACTACCCCAAGCAACTGGGCAAAGGAAGTACTTGCTGGGGACAACTGATTACTTCACTAAATGGATAGAAGCTGAACCCCTTGCTAAAATACGAGATGTGGATGTAAAGAAATTAATTTGGAAAAATATCATCACCAGATTTGGGATTCTAAGAGCAATAGTTGCAGACAATGGAACACAATTTGACAGTAAGCTAATTAAGAGCTTATGTGCAAAGTTCAAGATCAAGAACTACTTTTCAACACCAAGCTTTCCCCAAAGCAATGGACAAGCAGAAGCATCCAACAAAGTAATTCTGGACGGGATAAAAAAGAGGCTGCATGCAGCAAAAGGAAAGTGGGTGGACGAGCTGCCCAATGTGCTCTGGGCATATCGGACTACACCGAGAAGATCAACAGGGGAATCCCCCTTTGCCATGGCTTATGGCACAGAAGAAGTTATTCCGCTGGAGGTCGGCATCCCAGGAATCAGAACCTAGGGAGTAGAGAACGGAACTAATGATGTACTCTTAGCCCGAGATCTGGATCTTCTAGAAGAACGAAGGGAGAAAGCTGCGATTCAGCTCGCAGTGTACCGGCAGCAGCTTGCCAGGGCTTATAACAAGAGGGTTAACCCAAGGGAGTTCCACGTCGGCGACCTGGTCTTGAGAAAAATCGTCGGCAACAAGAAGGATCCTAGAGAGGGCAAGCTTGGCCCAAATTGGGAAGGACCCTACAGAATCATCTCGGTGCTGGGCAATGACGCATATCGGCTTGAAGATAATGAGGGCAAAGAGTTGCTAAGGCCTTGGAACACTTGTAATTTGAAATTTTTCTATCATTAGAATTTCTTTGTTCCTTTGCCATTTGTCGAAGTAAATAAATAAAGATAGATAAATTCATAAACTCAACCTAGTCAAGTAAAGGGGAACTTTTTCCTCACACCGGTCAAAAGATTAGCAAATGGGAACTTTTTCATCAACCAAAAGTATGATCGTTCAATTAATCTCCTCTCACCTTCCATTCCTTGTGCATTACTAAACACGTCAAATAGAGAAACAATTTATCAAACATTTGGTAAGCATCGTAGTAGCAAAAATTATATAGTGGTAAAACCAATTATTTTGAACTTCAATTATTGCAAAACTATACCCAAATCCTTATAATGGAATGAATAACAATAAATTTAATTAAAATAACAGGAAATAGGTTATAATTTATTCCGAGGGACATGAGGAAGTTGGTCTTTGAGCTATGGAAATCGAGTAAAAGATCAAATCATCAACTTACAACATGAATGCACAAAAAATGAAAAATAGAAGCAAAAAAAAAGGGATGGAATCTTGATTACCTCTATTGATTCGAATGCCTCCTTCACATGTACAAAGCATTAAGAATAAAAACACCAGCATTACATGAATTGAGAATTTCTCTACAACTCTCCAACTCAACAAAAAATTGTGCATTGATTTTAGGAGAAAAGATCTTTCATACTTAAAAAAAAAAAAAAAAAAAAAAACAACAACAACAACAACAAAACATAAAACTAAGGCTCCTCAGCAGTAGCAGTTGGTTGAGTTTAAAGTTCAGACGATTGTTGAGAGGACGCCTCGGTAGCCTTTTCCGCCGCGAGCTCGACATCAATTTGGGCAAGGGTTTCGTCAAGGCTCTTGTCGGCAAAGGTGACGTCGGCTGAGGTCTTCTCAGGAGCAGCATCTTTGAGAACCTCATCACCCTCTTCATCTTGAGTCAAGTCTAGGACTTGCTCACTCTGAGAAGGGGATTTGGCCCCATCAACATCTTTCGGCTTTCTCACCAAGGTCTCCTCCTCAGATTCGGAGCCATCATCAGATTGAGCAGGAGTTGGAGTTGGAGGGAATGGAAGAGGAATGGCGACGGCGTTTCTCAAAGACGAGTCCTCAGGGACATTAAGCTTTTTTAGAAGGGACATCCAACCAAGGGTGAAACCCTTGTTGCATGCCTCCTTCATTTGCTTTTCGTAGGCCTCTGTCACATCGGCCATGCCCTGGGCATACGCCTTCTCGTCGGCATCCTTGATTTCAGCCTCTTTGGTAGCCAAGGCCTCCTGCAGCTCTTTTTGGGCCTGGACCATCTTCTCCTCGGCCTCTCTTTTTTGGGACTCAACAACCTTCCTAATGGCCTCAGCAGAATCAACTTTCTCTTCGGCATTGGTCTGAGCCTTGATAGCAGCTTCAGCCTGGTCCTCTAACTTCTTCATTTTCAATTGAAGGCTTTTGTTGGCTTTTTGAAGAGTAGAGAACTCCCTCTTCATCTCGGCCAACTTCTCCCGATTTTCAAAAGATTGAACAGAGAAATAATGGGCATGCTGGATGGCCTGAAAAAACATAAGACAAAAGTTATTGCAAAATCTTCTAAAGTACAGGAAAGGGAAAAATTGTTAGGTAAGGACACTCACTTGAACAGAATGTTGAAGCATCAGAGCGTAATTTTCATACTCGCTCAACTCGGCGTTTTGGTTAAGATCACCGAGGAGAAGCAAAGCAATACTGAGGGCTACGCCGACGTTGATGTCCTCAGCGCTATCGCTGGCCATGACTGGCTTATCTTCCAAGGTAATTTCGGGGGCCCAGGGGGCATCAGACTTTTTAGACCCTGAGATCGTTGCAGAAGATGACCTCGGCCTTTTGGATTTGGTAGATTCGGATAGAAGTGTTTTAGCGGACCTCTTCGCAGGGACAGAGGCAGTTTTCTTACTCGGAGCCAGTTTGGAAATTGGCAAGGTATCCTCAGAATCGATCTGAGGCACCTTTGCACTACCGGAAATATAGAATTTAGCGGCATTTACTTAGCGACGTTTTTTTAAACACCACAGTTTCTAACCTTTAACGACGTTTTATAAACGTCGCTTTTTATTTTGATTAAAACGGTACCGTTTAAGGAATAGAAGTCGTTTTTTAAACGCCTTCACGTGTTACAATAGTATTCCTCCCCCTCTCTCTTTAGCTCTGTGAGAATCAGAACCCTTCTCTCTCTCTCTGCGCCCTCATTTTGAATCTGGGAAACATTCATAGTCTTAGAGATTACGATTCAGAACCCTTCTCGCTCTCTCTAAACCCTTCAGTCTCAGAGATTACGATTCAACCTTCTTCAGTTTGGTATCATCTCAGATCCAGTCTCAGAGTGATTTCGACTTCGAAGTGCTCTCTCTGTCTCTCTCTCGATTTCGAAGCTCCACCGCCACCACCATCTGCATCGTTGACTAAGGTGAGCACACCGTCTACAATCTCAGTTTCGCATTCTCTCTCTCAAGCTCTTCATTCGATCGATTCTTCTCCTAGGGTTTACATATGTTTAAGATTTCAGATCTGAGTTTTTTTATTCAAAAATATATGTTTGAGATCTGAGATTTCTCATTCAAAAATATGTTTGAGGTTTGAAATTTCTTATTCAAAAACATATGTTTCAGATCTAAAGATTTCTCATTCAAAAAATATTTTTATGATTTGAAATTTCTCATTCAAAAATATATCTGTTTGAGATTTGAAATTTCTCATTCGAAAATATATAGTCTTTCCTCATTAAAAAATTTCATTCGAAACAATATCCTTGTAGATATGAGATTTTCATTCGAAAATACATGCTTTTGTTAAATGATGATCAACTACCATAGTGCTTTATTTTCAAAGGCAACAGGTTCTCTGACTTGATTCACTCTAGCAGGATGCACCGATTATTAGCAGGAATTCTCATTTATCAAAGCAGCTTGTTTGCTTTAATGCGTGTAAGAAATGGGTGCTCTTAATGATCATCTTCTTCCTTTTAATGAAGAGCCTTCAGTAAATGATTCCACTTTAAAGAGCAAAGGATCAACTTCAAGTGCAGGTATCTTTTATATTTAAATTTACATTTTGACAAAAGTGATTATATTCTAGGTGCTTCATAACTTTAGAAACTTGGGCCTTCTTTGAAAATCTCATTTTCATTTGCTTAGGAGTCATAATTTAAGCCTAAATAGAATAAATTTGACAATTTTTGCAACTAAAGAACCCTAGGGATTATAGATGATACACGAAAGTACAACTGAATTCTTTTCTAGAATTCAAGCTTGATGTCGTTCTTTCTACATCATAGTAATTACTAAATGTGCATCACATATCACTTCATTTTACATATCCACCACTACTGACATGGCTTGTAAAATCGAGCACTGACATGCACTAGTATGTCAAAATCTGACTCTAGTAGATAGTTGAGCAGTAATAGAAAAAATCTAGTGAGATGTTAGTGCTGGTTAGCAAACTGTTAGCTAGCATTTCAATTCAAAACAATAAAGTTCAACTACACCTCCATCTGCTTGTACTTGCTAGTATATGTACAGACATGATAAAGCGTTGATGCTACATCCTCCATACCCTAGAGTAGATAGCATTAGTAATGGTTGATGCCTTTGCAAGTTGTTACACCATTCAGTTTGTTTTGGTTTTCTTCTCAATTTCAATGCTGTTTGCAGGGTGTTTACTGGTTTTTAAAAAAATTGCACCTTGGATGATAGCCCATATGTACGCTTAGGCTGGGCTGTTGAGCTTTTAGTTATCTATCTTTGCTAATATGTTTATCATCTTGTGTGTTAAAGCTATTTTGTGTTTCTTTGTGTTGTCTTTAGGAACAACAAAAAGGAAGGAATTGCATGGGACAACCTGTGTCCATGGACTCTCTGGAACATGGGGATTAAAACTCGATGGCACTGTTTTTCAAGCTTATAGAATACATTTTACTTGTAATATACCTGGTGTGCATTACTCTAGTTTTGTTCTTTTGATTGACTCAAAGCTAGATGATGATGTGGGAAGTGTTGAAATGGAACTTTTCTTACTTTCGAAGGTTGTGAAATCTTCGGTTTCTTCATGTGGCAAAATACATCTAGATGCAGAACATGTTCAAGCATACGTTTAAAATAATTTGCGTTCTGTTTTACGTGAAACACTTCTACTAATGCCAAAGCATTCTGTTTTTCCTTGCTAGGTGGTGCGAGCAATGTGCTTTCAAGAATTTTTTTTAATGGGATATTTGGGAAATTATTTGTTCGATTGAAATCATCAAGAGGAGGAAGAAAATTTCTACTGCAAGGGGAATCGTTATGGAAACCATCAAACATGTACCTTCTCCTACCTCTAGAGTCATCAAATGTCTCTAGTGATGAACCTTGGAGAATTAATTGGATGGGAATCAATTCTTGTGTTTCTGTGGTAGAATTTTTGAAAGAAAATGCTTGGTTAAGCGCTGAGCAGTCTAGTGGTGATAGGGGAAATTCATCAGTTCATGGCATAAACTCAATTGAGTCTGAATGCAAAGCCACAAATGTCATCCACCTGGCCAATAAATCAATTGATACCAAAAACCTCAGGGAGATGGTGGTTTTGGCAATTCACACGGGGGGAATTTACTCTGTCTTACATGCCGTTGATAATACATCTGCTGAGAGTCCTTTTGATGGGAACTCTGATGCAATCCCTTCTAGTTATTCATCCTTTGCAGAGTACTTTAGCAAAAAGTAGGTACTTTTTATTTTATTTATATATATACTAAATGTAACGTTATGTTCACTGCATAGTCTATTTTGGCCCACCATTTGTCACTTACTGAAACTCGACATTAACTTTGATCAGGTATGGGATTACACTAATGCATCCTGGACAGCCTTTGCTACTGCTAAAGCAAAGTCACAATGCATACAACCTTCTTGTGGATTTTAGGAATTAAGGTTTGCTCACTTGCATGTTAAACTTTTGTTAGAACAAAGAAGCTTTCGTATTGTGCCATCCCTGTGTTCTGTTGTTTTACTGTCAGGATTTATATCAAATCTATGGTTCATTTCCATTGTTATAAGATTTTGTAAGTTGCTTTTAAATGTTTAATTTATTAATTTATCTTGTTCTTTCAGTGCAAAATGTGTTCTAAGACTTATGGAGACTACGTAATTAAATGTTATGAGAATCCAATAGCTCTCTCTCTCTCTCTCCTGATGTTTGTAAATTGGTTGAAGAGGTATTCATGATTGTAAGGCTTGGTATCTAGGCAGCATGCATTTACAAGGGTTCTTACGTTCTTAGGCAGAGGAAATGCCCTTTTAGTGGAATTCTACATATATGAAAAACAATTACGACTTTCAGAACTAGCATTTAAAAACAGTAGAATAGTTTGAAAAAGTTGAGATCAAGTACCCATGAATGTTATATGCCTTTGGATCTCATTCCATCAATACTATCAGTATAAGTAAACAGAAGACAATTCTATAGCTTATCTCATTGCATCAATACTAATTTACCGTGCTTTGAATGCCATATTCTATTTGTTAGTTTAGTTCTTTTTGTTCTTTCAGTATTTAGCTTTCAATTGATGACTTAGCTCTCACAATGTTGGGGTTTATGAATAACAGGGCAGCAGCACCTGCAGCTAAGAACACAGGTATTCATAAGTAAATACTCGGTGTAATTGACTTACAATATTCACATTGTGTGATTAATGTGTCATGTTGTGTGGTAATATTCACATTGACTTATTTTGGTGTTTGAACACATTATTCGTTACTTTATTTGTTGAGGGTTAGTAAGATAATATTTTGTTTTCTCCATTTTTATTTTTGTGAATATTGCAGACAGAAGAAATAATCAGATTAAATGGAATCTACAAGCGGTTACTTTCAAATGCTGGGGTTAAATTATATGAAGGAGAGGGGAAGATAGTTGGTCCAAATGAAGTTGAGGTGACGCAACTAGATGGTACTAAAATATGCTATTCAGCAAAACACATACTCATTGCAACCGGCAGCAGGGCTTATCGACCGGCTATTCCAGGGCAGGTAAATCTTCTGATTTTTATTATGACACGAATGGAAAGTGACATAACATGATAATCATATTCTGGATATAGGTGGTTCATCTTTCTAGCTTGGCTGTTCTTTTATGTGCACTTTTTGCTGGGAACACCACTACAAACATTTTTAACTGATAAATTACTTGAAAAGAGTGAAACCATCCACTATTGGTGTTATATAATTATCTTGCATATTTTTTCTCCCATCTTTATCTAACTACTTATTTTGTTTTGTTATTTTTTGGTTGGCATTATAGGAGTTAGCTATAACCTCTGACGAAGCCTTGAGCTTGGAAGAGTTACCTAAGCGTGCTGTCATACTTGGGGGAGGGTTGTCTATATTATCTATCTGCTGTGTTGATTTTTCTTGGCATGCTTATGAATTTTAAATGACATATTTTTCTCTTGTTTTTAGGTACATTGCTGTTGAATTTGCTTTAATATGGAAGGGTATGGGTTCTACAGTGGATTTATGTTTCAGAAGGGAACTTCCATTAAGGTGGTTGTACTTGGAAGAATTGCTTGTGCAAATAGCAACTCCCTTAGTATTTTGGATTTTGTTCAGACCAAAAATTGTTGTAAACACCCGATAGTTATCATGACAAGATTTTATTGACAATTTCACATAGTAAAGAATGGGGTGAATTTTGCTCTAGTAATTATGCCTTGGAAGTCAGCTCAACTTCAGTGTAGAAGGTTGGTGTATGATAAAATTTTACATTAATTTTTAGTTGGTCACAACTAAAACTCACAAATCCATTTCGGAAATCTAGATCTAAAAGACAACATTGAATTAATGTTTAAAAAGCCATACTAATTGTATATGTCAGGTAGAAATCTTAGTCTGAAATTGATGAATAATTCAAATGCTATTTTTTTTTGTCTGAAATCTATACTAAACCATTGGAACAGCTTAGCTCAGCTAACTCTAATCCTTAAGTTGGATATGCCCAGTAGTTGTAGGAATGCCATCAAGGATTTATCCGTTGGGTTAAGCTTGAAAGCTCAAACATTGAGTGTTTATATTTAAGAGCTTCTTCCTTCCATGCTATTGGAGAATATAGAGAAGCGGTATTAGGGATTCTTTTTCTTGATTTTCCCATTTAAACGACTGGGCATCATGCTCAATTCTTCTTTGCTTTGGTTTACTAAATTTCATTTTATGATAAAGGTGAAGGATTATGATGCTGCTTTGGATTTGGAACTGAACTCCATGGAAAAATTCGTGCTTCAATGCTTGGCCTTCTATCAGGTTTGATTTGATATTTGATATGTCGTATTTCTAAGCCACTGCGGGCATTGTTATGAAAATTTTCATAAGCCACCTCAGGCATTGTTATGAATTTTTTTAGCATCTATTGTGTGGTTGCAATCATGAAATAGACCAGATCTATTGTGTGGTTGCAATCATGAATCACATTTACCCTTAGTTTTGCAAATTGTCTTATCTTTAGTGACAAAGTTTTTTGCAACAATTCCTGGCACCATTGAGAATGGCATACCTATCGATAAAGGAAAATTATTAAAGTCATTCTAGAGTAATTTATGGAATTACTTATTTAGTAATGTTGACAAATGAGAAACCACATAACACTCTAAATGAGTTACATATGGAGAAAAGAGGGTATTAATGTTGTGGTATAAAAGGAAACCATGGAACAGGTGTCAGAGAACAAATTTCCTTTCAATGTAGAAAATTACAAATTATATGAAAAAGTTGGAGAAGGTGTCAGCGCCACTGTTCACCGAGCTCTCTGCATTCCTTTGTGTTGACTGGGATTTGGGAATGTATCCTGCTCAAAATTGTCTTTGTTGTACATGAACCTATTATGATTAATTGAATACGAATCCCTATTCTGCAGTGTAATGATGTGTAATATGCTTGACTATTCCATTGCATCTGCATGTGCAAGCAAATGACTTAACCTATTTTTTCTTTTTATTTTTTGATTGTGTTTGTTGTTTGATTTTGGTTCAGACACAATCATGTAATGTTTATTTAGTCAATATATTGAAGTAGCTGTAAAATTTTATTCATATTATTGTTATTTTTCAGCTTTATTACAGGTTTGTTTTTTAGTTAAATATAACAGATTCAGAACAATTTTTTTTTTTAAAAAAAAGAGCTATAACGGCGTTTTTTCAAAACGCCACTACAGTGCCAACGGACATTTTTTTAAAATAAAAAAATCTATCATGGCGTTTTAAAAACGTCGCTAAATATTGGATGACGTCATTTTATCATTATTTATCGCATTTAGCGGCGTTTTAAAAACGCCGCCTATACTAATTTTCCGACGTTTTTAAAGCGTCATAAACTTATAGCGACGGCCGCGTCCTCGACGTTTGGTGATAAGCGTCACTAAAGGAATTAGCGGCATTTTTCATACATCTAGAAGTCATTTTTCCAGCAGTGTTGCCTTTGGCTGAGCCTTTTTGATTCATTTTGGCTTTGAAGGAGGCTGGGTTTGTGTTGGCTGAGCGTCAACATCAGTTGGAATGTTAACCAGGAGATCTTTGGCAACTGGTTTTGGGCGACCCATTTCGGCAGAAGAAACTATTCGGCGTCGACGGCGGCGTTGGGATATTGGAATCAAGTATGGAGCCGAGGTTGACGATTGCTCAGCCGAATCAGTGGTTGACCCTTGGTTTGTCCGAGATGTGGACACAGTTTGTGGAGTTGTGGCAGAGGGTGGAGAAAGGCTTTTCTTCTTCCTCCTAGCGACGTTGGGCAGAGCTAACTTGTATGTTGGAATAAAATTGAGAAGCAGAGGCACCTTCCGTTTATGGACTGGCAAGTCCAAAAGTTTCTTCAAATCCTTGCTGGGAATGAAGGATTGGCGAAAGTTTTTTGGTGGCTTAGGAACAGCTGCAAGAAAAACAGACATTAAGAAATAGATAAAGTATGAAAGACTTTAAAAAACAACTAGGTATGAATGCAGGGCTCTTACCATTGCCCTCTACAAAGACTGATCGAAGGAGAGGGAAGAGATAGAGGTCTTCATCTGGGGCGAACTCCCAGTTCCCCGAAGTAATGAAATAATCGTCCCCAGCTCCCTTGTTGGAGTCAAGGAGGTCGGCAACGATTTTGTATTCAGTGGACCTCGGCTTGAGGTAGTAAACGTAGCCAGTGTCTTTTTTAAGGCCACACATAGTGTAATAATATTGGATGTCGGCTAATGTGATCCTAGCATTTTCTTGTTTGGCTAAGGCTATGATACCATTGATGGTTCAATAGGAATTGATGGAAAGTTGCATTGGGTTCCACTTGTAATAATGAAGTATTTCACGGAAAAGGGTGTTGAGTGGGAGCCGAAGTCCACACTCAATGAAGGCTACCACAGGGAAAGGCATGGAGTCATCATCCCCAGCCAACCTCAGATGGACGTCGGCTGGGATTTCAAACTCTTGTCTAAAGAATTTTAGTTTGGATGGGGTATCTACCCTATGTTTCCACATACCCATGATATCGGTTTAATCGAAGGGGTTGGATTTTAGAAGATATTTTGAAAGGGTTATTGGGACCTCAGCAAACACTTAGGTAAATACAGGTTTCAGTTTTTTCTTAAATTGTGGGTTCTGCAGACAAATCCCAAACCTAAGTCTATGGGAATGAAGATTGAAGGCACAAATCTGAAAAAGACACAAAAAAAAAGAAAACAAGAACAAGTTTCAGAATCAAGAACAAAGATGGGCTATCAAGAATATAGCGAGTACAAGGGGTACAAAGTGCAAGGAAATGGTGAATAATGCGTGTATTCAGGACATGGGCAAGGGCAAAATCATGGAATAAACACACTCAGATATGAAATTCACAAATCGAATGTTTAAACAAAGCAGTAATGGTAACAGGTAGTAAAGAGCATCAGAGAATTGAAAACGAAAGGAACAGTGGCTTACCAGAAAAAGTGAAATCGGTATGAAGATCGCCGAAGTCAAGCGATGGTTGCAGAGGTAACAGAACGACGAAAGCTTCACCAAGAGGGAGGAATGAAGGAAATTGCAGAGCTTGAAGTCTGGAACAATGGCGGATTCAAGAGAAAAAAGTAAGAAAGAGAAAAAGCAAGAGTATTGAATGAAAAGTGAAAGAAGAGGGAAAAGGTTTTGTAAAACTTGAAACGTCGGCGAAAAAAGGGCAGTTAATGCGCCAAGAGCAGCAAATGCATCAGACGGCGTACACAGGCGCAAGACGGCATACAGGCACATCACAGGCACGATCCAATGAGGATAAGACATGTAAATGAAACGATTGAATAGTGATGCATGACAGCTCATACGAGTGAAGGAATTCACTGGAATTCTTGATTAAGGGAGACATGTCGGCCTTAAACAATGATCTCGGCTAAAATAATTTAAGTCGACGTACTGGAAAGAGGTACCGATATAGGTTCCATCACCTCAGCATGCCGAGGTAATAGAACCTAGGGGGCAGTTGTGGGGATATATTTTTGAGTACCAACACGTGGCAAGGTGACACCGATGTATCAGCCGAGGTGCCACGTGTCCTGATCGTAACGCTGAGATGATCTCGACATGGCCGAGGTTATCTCCGAAGATATCGGAATCCGAGATAAGCGGATAAAGCACAAGAGTCCTAGAAAAGGGGAAGACTACAGTTGGGAAAGGACAAGACTCTTAGGGAGTTTATCCCAATCCTAGTGGGAGTCCAAGATTGATAGTAATCCTAAGTCCATTAGAGCTAGGCTCCTGTTGGGACAAGGATTGAGTTAGCTATAAAAAAGAGGCACCCCTGTGGGTCTAAGGTACGCAATTTATATTCTGAACAGTGAGATTTGCACTATTGATTATCTTTGAGAGATATATTGACTTGATCGTCGGAGTGCCCCCGGGTGGACGAACCACCGCCGGAATCTTCTCTTTCTGTTGCAGGTCAGCCATGTGTCATCTATTCTGCCAGTGTTCTCCAGCTGAATACTAAGTTGGGCAGTGTGATCGGAAAATCACTCACACACAAACCCATAAATACATTACCAAATCCTATGTCAAAATATTTTCAAAAACGCAAAACCAAATATTTTGATGCTAAACATTTAATCCATAAATCATTTACCAAAATCATATGTCAAAATATTTCCAAAAACACAAAATCAAATCTTCTGATGCAACTGTTTTCCACCATTGCCAATCTGTCACATGAAAAAAGAAAAAACAATATTAGATTGACAAAAAAAAAAAACCTTGATATGAATTATGAATTTCACAATTTTGATTTTAATTTTCTAACGGGAAGTCCAATCAGATGCTGTTTTCTCATACAAGTTTGCTCATACAAGTCTATTTAGGCTTGAACAAGTTGACCGTGCCAAGTTTCAGTGGTTTCGGTGGTCATTTTGCAATTTCGGCCCCCAAACGGGTCTTTTAAGTCTTGTGTTTTACATTTTTTGTTGTAATTTTCTAACCGGAAATCCAATCGATGTCCCGTTTGTTCCTACAAGTCTATTTAGGTTTGAACAAGCTGTTCGTGCCAAGTTTTGGTGGTTTCAAAGGTCATTTCGCAATTTCGGCTCCCGAATGGGCCTTTTAAGTCTTGTGTTTTACAATTTTCCTTCTAATTTTCTAACTGGATATCCAATCGATGTCCCGTTTGTTCCTACAAGTCTATTTAGGCTTGAACAAGCTGTCCGCCCCAAGTTTTGGTGGTTTTGGTGGTCATTTCATATTTTCGGCCGGCGAACGGGCCTTTTAAGTCTTGTGTTTTACAATTTTCCTTCTAATTTTCTAATCAGAGATCCAATCGAGGTCCGTTTGTTCCTACAAGTCTATCTAGGCTTGAACAAGCTGTCTGTGCCAAGTTTCGGTAGTTTCGATGGTCATTTCGCAATTTTGGCCCCCGAATGGGCCTTTAAGTCTTGTGTTTTATAATTTTCCTTCTAATTTTCTAACCGGAGATCCAATCAACATCTCGTTTGTTTCTACAAGTCTATTTAGGCTTAAACAAACTGTTCATGCCCAGTTTTAGTGGTTTCGGTGGTCATTTCACAATTTCGGCCCCCAAACGGGCCTTTTAAGTCTTGTGTTTTACAATTTTCCTTCTAATTTTCTAACCGAATATCCAATCGACGCCCCGTTTGTTCCTATAAGTCTATTTAGGCTTGACCAAGCTGTCCGTGCCAAGTTTCGGTGGTTTCGGCGGTCATTTCGCAATTTCGGCCCCCGAACGGGCCTTTTAAGTCTTGTGTTTTACAATTTTCCTTCTAATTTTCTAATCGGAGATCCAATCGAGGTCTCGTTTGTTCTTACAAGTCTATTTAGGCTTGAACAAGCTGTTCGTGCCAAGTTTCGGTGGTTTGGGCAGTCATTTCGCAATTTCGGACCTCGAACGGGCCTTTTAAGTCTTGTGCTTTACAATTTTCCTTCTAATTTTCTAACCGGAGATCCAATCGATGTTCCGTTTGTTCCTACAAGTCCATTTAGGCTTGAACAAGCTATTCATGCCGAGTTTTGGTGGTTTCGATGGTCATTTCGCAATTTTGGCCCCCGAACGGGCCTTTTAAGTCATATGTTTGACATTTTTCCTTATAATTTTTTAACCGGAAATGCAATCGAGGTCTCGTTTGTTCCTACAAGTCTATTTAGGCTTGAACAAGCTGTCTATGCCATGTTTTGGTGTTTTCGGTGGTCATTTCGCAATTTCAGCCCCCGAACGGGCCTTTTAAGTCTTATGTTT